GCCTGGTGCTGCCCCTCTTGGGTTATCCGCTGTTGCTCTGTCCCTGGATTTTCAAGGTGATTTGTACCCTGGGAATGTCGGACTTGGCCCCTTTGATATTCTTTCCCTACAGAGGACTGAGTAGGGAGCTCCTTGGCCTGGAGAAGATCCCTGTCCCTTAAGAGCTTTCTTCCCCAGGGTAGCGAGCGTTTGACACCATATGTGCGAGAGGAAAAGGGGGAGGCTGTCCTGAGCATCGAAACCGTCGCAGAGGAGAGCTGAGCGCCGAGATGGTGAACGGTGGTGTGGAGAAATCAGGCCCTTGGCGAAATGGAAGGCTTTCAAAAGCCATGTAGGACTCCTTGTCCCAAATAGTGTTGGACATTCTCTCGCTGACCCTTAACAGCTGCGCGGCTTCAGAGTTTACGCAGAAAACGTCCGCAGACATTGTCTCGGTGGACTGTCTGGCAATCCAAGGACACGGCAGCAGCTGCCGCATAGCTATTGCAGATGGACGGTGCCTTGTGGGTGTCGAGGCTGGGACTGTGCCCAGGCCTCTGACTCCCCACCCACTGTGTCCTGTTGCCTTTCTGGAATACAGATGTTATTTCCTAGGTCATCTATCTATCTATCATCTATCTATCTATCTATCTATCTATCTATCTATCTATCTATCTATCTATCTCTCTATCATCTATCTATCTCATCTATCATCTATCTATCTCATCTATCATCTATGTATCATCTATCATCATCATCATCATCATCTATTTTTGTCTTTGATGCCTCAGTGCCTGAGAACTTACTAGTGTCTCTTTTAGTGAGTGTGTGTTAAAGCATTTTCCTATAGCAATGGCATAATGTATTACTGTTACCTCTAAATAAAGAAGAGAAAGAAATGCCAAGTATGAACCGTCTGAAAATATCCTCAAGAGCAGTGATTTTCAACCGTGTGCCGCAAAAAATTTTAAAACGTGCACTACCTATTTAGTCAGGGGCACTGATCTCTTTCCCCCTAGACTGTCAAATTAAAAAATGACAATAGGCACCAGAACAACAGCTGTCTGGTGTGACTGAATCAAAATTATACTCTTTTTTTTTGGTCAGATTGGCAAAAAATTTTTTTTTTGGTGTGCTGCAGAATTTTAGTAATTAGTTTATATGTGCCATGAGATGAAAAAGGTTGAAAATCGCTGATCTAAAGCATGAACATTTTAGGTGTCTATCCTTGAAGATATATCTGAGCAATGATAAAAGGGGGGGGAGTGGAATTAAGGAAAGCAAGGAACCAGAGTCCTGTCACGTGGACTCAATGTTTACTTGATGGGGTAGCCTCCCGGATATGTTAGGGATATGTTAGCCAAGATATTTAGACTTGGGTCAACACTAGAGATCCCCATCATGAGCAAGAGCCTGGCCTTGCCTTTAGAGTAGTATCACCTCGGAGGGGGTCTCCATTTTGCCAGGAGTTGCAAAAATGCAACTCATATTGGAGTCTTCTGATCCTGCCCCTCAAGTTGGGAACAGGACTCTATGCAAGCTGACCCCTGCCCTCTGTAAAATGAAATCTGACCATTGCTGCTTTTCAGAGCAGCAGGTCAAAGTTTCATTGTGGAAAATGAATTGGGAGAAAAAACAGACTTCAAAAACATTTGTGCTTCCAAGTACTGGGTTATTGTAGCTCTAATTAGAGTTTCTTAACAAAGTGTGACTATGCGAGGTCATTTATAAAATTGAAAAGCTTGTAATTTTTGTCCTCAGTAGAGCGATGTGAGCTAGAAGGGTATATTTGTATGTCTCAGACAAAGGTGACATTTGAAATTATTTAGCAACCAGTATAGCCAAGGACTTTGACCAGTAAGAAGAGAACCTCAGATGCTTCTCTAGTGCTCCAACAGGGCTTTGGACGACCCAGCTCTCCAGGCATTAACCTTTACATTGCTCAATTGGAGGAGGGGGCAGGGATTCCTTGGGCAGAGGCTGGAGTGATGGCACATTGAAGGGTCTCTGGAGGAAGGATTATTTACCTTAGAGCCATGGTTATTTACCAATTGGAATGGAAGTATTGCAATATTTTAACAAGCAGAATTGTTATTCCGGTATGTACCAACTTAATCTGAGATCTATCCTTAGTGGAACCAGGCAGATTTATAATAGTCTCTCTGAATGGTCCTTACAAAATCCTAGGCTCCCTTATCTCATTCTAACATATGACTATGTTGAAAACAATGGATGTAATTCATCAATAATTTTATTTTATCACAGCAAATAATCACAAAGTGAATGGAGATCATAGTAATTAGGAATACGTGTTCCAAGGAGCATGGACCCTTCTCAGTTTCACTGCTGTTCTCTTCTGGGAGTAATATCTTAGCCTCAGCTCATAATGTGTCAGCACAGACTCTGATATTCCCTCTGCATCCAGGAAGAGAGTCTCACTAAATTAATCAATTCACCAAATAGTTACTGACTGCCTACAACTGGAAACAATGGTAACTTAGAATTTCAGGGAGGCCCTGATTCCAACTTTCAGCTCCTATGATTTAATCAGTGGAAAATAAACACTTAGCACCAATAACATCAGGAGCCATTGGTACTGGAGCTGAGAGACTCAGGTGGCATGAACTGGCCTTGCTTTTCTCTGGACATATATACCAAGGGATTTTAGACAAAACGTTTGTGAGCGCTGACGTGCAAGTTTGATGGTGTAGGTGATGTAAATATTTTTGATGGATTGGTTTGTAGGATTTTAATGATCTGTATGGAATGTCTGTAGATATTTATCTTTTTGAGGGTTTTTCATTCTTGTTGGCTTTGTGTAAACTACAAGACGGTGCCCTATCATTGGATGGTCCTTTTCGCTGGACCATCTTGTGTAGCCACACTCTGCTCTTACAGCGTGTGGCAGGCCTTACCCATTGTTTTCCGAGGCTCCAGGCCTTCCCAGAGCTGGCAGCATGTGGCAAACCTGCTTCCCTGGTTGCCCATGGCCCTGAAGGACCGGGGGAGTGCATTTATCTGTGCTTGATTCCAAGGAAGTCTTTTGGGCACCTGGGAGTTCTAGAAAGATCTTTGCCTTGGGGGAGTGGTTAGACGTGCTGTGTTCTTCTCCCACTCTGCTGTCCCTCTCTGGGCGACCTTTGTTAGGTTACATTCTCTTCAGGACATAACTTCTTTATGGGAAACTGACGGTTAGGGGATTCTGGCCCAAGCAATCAATGTCCCCTGGGGTTCCTTCCAAACAACAGTGGATGGCCTGAGCTATTTCCATACTTACAAATCTTAATAAAGATCAGACAGTGGTCCAGATGTTCATATGTGCTATTACTCAATAAAATGTGGTTTGTCAGACAACATTTTGTGCTCCATTAATCCCTATGGGAGAAATGATCAAAGGGGCACTTGTAAGGAACAGCTTAGTGGTACATGGACACTATAATCTGCAGCTCGGATCTTCTTTATCTGGCTTGTGGCCTGAAGAATGGGGATTAGAAACACCCTCAAAGGCATAGGAAAAATAAAATGTATCAAAAACAAAATCCATTTTATTATCATTTGAATTTAGCATTTTACTACCAAATGATAACACTACTGTTTAAATGTCAAAATGTGGTCCCGGACCAGCAGCACCAGCACCAGCACCAGCATCACCTGGAGCTGGTTACAAAGGCCAGTTCTCGGGCCCCATCTCAGACCAACCGAATCAGAAACTCTGGGGGTGGGTTTTACAATCTGTGGTTTTGCAAACACTCCGGGGGATTTGTCTGTCCGCTAAAGTTTTAGAAGCATGGAAGCTTTATATCCTCTTAAAGTTGCTTTCTAAGGAGCATGTCACTGGCTTCCCACCATCTCCCTGTGTGTCGCTTGGACAACTACTTTTACTCTCATTTGGTATATGGTGGGCACATGGATAAGCCGAATGTCCCAGGGTCATATTGTCAGTTTTATATGTTCATTTCTTGTCTCGTGGCATGTTTGGTATATGCTATATAAACATTAGATAAGTTTCTCCTCCACTAAAGATGACCCCAATTTTGCTGCCTATTTTTGGAGGAAAGATTATTACCTACATTCTTTCAAGTTCTCTAAGACAAGTGGTTAGAGTAGTCTATCTAATTTTTCATTTGTTTGTTCATTTATTTTTGATACCTTGCTCAAAAGGATACAAGGAAACTGCTTCTATTTAGGATGTCTAGTATATTATAAAGTTTTAAAATACAACATAAATGGTAGAATACACCTTAAACAATATTTTTAAAGATAAAATTTAAAAGTTTAGAAGTTAAAAATATTATATATAATATTTTCTATCTATCTATCTGGCTATCTATCTATATAGAGAGAAAGGAATATCTATCTATCTAATCTATCTATCTGGTTATTTAAGGAATTGGCTCATACAATTGTGGAGGCTGGTGAGTCCAAAATCTATAGGGTAAGCTGGCAGGATGGAGACCCAGAGACAAGGTGATGTTGCAATTTGAGTCTCAAGAAAGACAGCTGGTAGAATTCCCTCTTCCTTAGGGAAGGTCAGTCTTCTTTTATAAGCCTTTTGATAGACTGGATGAGGCCCATCCACCTATGCAGAGTAATCTGCTTACTCAAAGTCTACTAATTTCAATGTTAATCTCATCTAAAAAATACCTCCACAGCAACATCCAGACACTTTTGAGCCAATATCTGGCTACCATGGTGTAGCTAAGTTGACACAAATTAACCATCGCAGAAATATTACCTTTCATGGAGTGTACATCTCGTCTTATATAGAAACTGTACTTTATCCAGTCCCCTAAGGTTGGATGTTCAGATTGTTCCCAGGATTTTTTGCCTTTGGCTAATTGACTCATTTTTGTCTTCCAGATCAATTCACAGAGTGTGGAAAAAATGCACATTTCTAACTTTTTAAAGATTTGACCTCTTTTTGCCAAATTGCCCTTGTAGATTCTTTAACCCTTAACCTAAGACCCTAGTGTTTGGAGTGGGAGAATGCCAGGCTTGCCTTGATCTCCTCTCTCTCTCAGCCTGCAGGTCCCTGGGGACTGGCATGATGCTGAGCTCCTGGGCCACCTCCTCAATCGAAGAGGTGGCGGAGGCCGGCCAAGAGGCGCTCCGCTGGCTGCAGCTGTACATTTACAAGGACCGTGAAGTCACCAAGCAGCTCGTGCAGCGGGCGGAGCGGATGGGCTACAAGGCCATATTTGTGACAGTGGACACGCCTTACCTGGGCAACCGCTTTGACGACGTGCGTAACAGGTTCAAGCTCCCACCCCAGCTCAGGTAACCACGGGTCTCTGATCTCCTGGGCCCCTCAGATGGTTTTCTAACTCTCTTTGCTCTTGTCATGAGCCAGCTCCAAAGGTTTTCTCCAGTTTCCAAGCGAGTGGTCTGGGGAATTAGTTCTTCATAGAACATTGGTTCCAAAGTATGGTTGAAAGGGCTCTTGTCTGGGAATGGTAGGGTCTGGATTCTAGAGATAGTGTCATTGCAAATATCCCCATAATTTCCAGCAAATCACACTCCTTTTATGGGTGTCACATACTCGAGCTATAAAAGAGATATAAATTATACCTATAAAAGCCAAATAAATTTATGTACCAGAGTGTATAAAGGGCTTTGGGAAGCATGAATAGCCATATAGATAGAAGACACTTAATATAGTCCAGGCAACAGGTTTATTGTGATCCCAATACCCTAGTTCTTTGTCTGTTGAAGTCACAGAGCCACCTATTAACTTCTATTTTTCATTGTATTTGAGGAACTATGGCTAGGAAGCTTGAAAAAAGCTTAAAGAGTGGAGACAAATGAAGCCACGTGCCTGATTCCTCATCAATGACTTCTTTGAGCAATATCCCTCTTTTTTGATTTGAGAAAGAGAGAGATTGGGGGGAAGAGAGAGAGAGAGAGGGAGAGAGAGGGAAACATCAATTTGTTCTACCCATTTATGCATCATTGGTTGATTCCTGTATGGCCCTGACCAGGGATCAAACCTCCAACCTTGGTGCGTCGGGATGACGCTCTAAGTTACCCAGCCACACTATCCCTCTATAATTGTAGATGAAGATTAATTCATTTATTCACTGGCTCATTCACTCACTCATCTTAGCATAAACAATGTGTCCAATAATCTATAATTGAGCAAGGATGGTTTCATTAGGTCAGTCAGCTTGTCCATTAGCAGGGGGATGGTCCTTTTTCCTATAAGAATTGAGACTTAGAATCATCTTTAGTAAAGCTGAGAATTTAGTGGAGTGTATAAGAAAGACCTCAACGTCCCTAAGCGACAGGCCCCTTTCCCCTTTGTGTTTTCCTTCCCCCCAGTTCCCACCAAAATCTGCTCTAAGGATTTTTCATACAGTGTGTGACCGATAACCTTCAAGGCTCAATGCGTTCCAGCAGGAATCAAAATCTTAGTGTTTACGGAGGACATTTGATGATGGGCTTTCAGAGCCTACTTGGGAGTCTGGGAAACAGCGAGGCTGCCTTCCTTGGGCCTGGGACCTCATTTCACATTGGCCACCGCTTATTCTGTCTACGTTTAAAGTTAACCCTTCTGAAAGATCCCAAATCTGGACGATTCAACATCAAACCAGCATTCCACATGAGGACAAGGAGATTGCTGGGAGCCGGGAACTCTCCGTATGTTATAGAACAGGATGCATGGCAACCGGCGCCTGAGTCCATACACGGTCCTGTGCGCCACATACCTGCCACTGAGCTCTGCCCAGTATGCGCCTATTTGGGTATAAACTGTTGTGTGTAAACTCTTGCTGCTGGGCCATTTGTAAATGAGCTGTGTGATGTGACCTCCCTCCAGGCGGGTTGAGGGTGCTGTTCCCGAATGTGGCACCTTGTGTGGCCAAAGGCAGAAAGAAGTGCTCTGCCCAGGTCAGACCTGCCTCCCTGCCCTGTCCCAGGCGCTGGGGTACCCAAACAGCCCCGTCTTCCTAAGAAAGCAAAAGCAAAACGTCCCTGCCCTGTTCCCACCTTTAGCCAGATTCTAAGGGAAGAAGATGCCTTCAGCTTTCCCAGGTGTGAGATCTGTCTTCACACCGCTTCTCTGCGTTGGTGGCTTGACTTTCTAGACTTTCTAAATGCGGTGCCCCCCCCCAGGCTTCTGGCAGGACACGTCCTCGTGATTTTCCTCCGGCCATTTCAACAGGAGCTCGCGATCCCGCCCCACGGGCACCGGCCACAGTGCTGGTCGCAGGGGTGGTTCCGCAGCCGAGCGGCCC